AAAAAAAAAAAAATAGAATACAAGCAACAAAGTTTTTATGATTAGGAGTTTCTCAAATGCTAGTTTAGAGGCAAAACTAACTATCCCTCCAGATTAAAACCTTTGGGTTGGGGTATTCCCACCCAAAAAATATTCATCCCCACCCCATTAAACTTCTTATACAAGAACCACTAAACCCACCCCATTTTATACCCCTCCACTAGTGACTAAACAAGCCCACCCCAATTTCCACTCACCCCCTTATAATATCAAATATAATATCCCCACCCCAGGGATTTGTTTACCCGCCCCCAGACACCCCATGTAAAATAACCTCCTTCCATATAAAGATGGGTATGCATCCCGGTAGCAGAGGTCTCACCAAGCATAGCCTATTTTAGCACCAGAAGACCAATTCTAGAAGAGTTATATCAGGAATACATAATATGAGAGACGTGATACAACTCGGCTATATGTTTCTTGTGGTTTATCTGGAGGGAGAAACAGAAGAACAAAAGATTGGTTGAACTTCTGAAGCAGATAGCCATGAGTAGAGAAGAACAGAAGACTGGTTGAACTTCTAAGGCAGGATGGCCATGAGTTTTTGCATTTTAGCCTGAAATGCGAATGGAAAATGGTGGGATAAAGATCAAAGCATAAGAAATAGGGTTATCAAACAATGAGTTTAAAGTATTTGCTGATCTGGTGGCCTGAAAGTTGTGTGAAAATTTCTAATAGCAGAAATTTAGTGACTAGAAGGTAGGGAGGGGGGAGGGGGGAGGGGGAGAGAGAACTCACAATAAGCTTTGACTTACGATGCTTCAAGCGTTTCTGCAGGTCAAAAAAGATTTAGCTTATTTATATAACAAAATAAATTTGTAGCATCCATTAAAAATAGCCATATAACACAAACAAAGTATTTTTAGAACAAATAGGATAGTAGCAAGAATAAGCACGTTTCCTTCGGTAATAATTGACTAGCCATTTAGTTCCTATAAATTTGGATATACGTAGGATTAATTTACTCTAATACCCTTCAATCACTTTTTATCAGAATAACAAAGACATAAGTCATAATAAATCAACAAGATTATATCTCGATTTCACTGTTATATTTCCTAAATACGAGGAAAACCATTGTTAAGCTGCCAATGAGAAGACCATACTACTCCACGAACATCTTATATTTCCCCCAAAGGCAATAAAATAATTGAATCAACTTGGATCCGATTAAAATATCATCTACTCATGCGTAAACTAGAGGAGACACATGCTACAAATGTGACACAATAGTTTTGGATCATGAAACAAAGAGAATAGGTCGGCAGGCACCTAAGTGATTTGGGGTACTTCTCCCATAGTCCATTAGCACACTTCCCTTGCATTTACATCAGATCGGGATTCAAATCCAATATCAATTTCATTATCGAATATTTGGTAAGGATCTAGAAACAAAATATCTAGATAACACTAGGACAAACTTTTAACAAATATGTCTCCAAACTGTCAAAATTTCATCCTAATGTAATAGATCCTCAAGACTAGGACCAACTTGGAACAAATGTGTCTCCAAACAAATTAAATTTAAATTCCAAATGTAGTTAGTCACTTAGTCAATTTTTCAAACTAATTATTTTTCTAGACATCTGAAGACATGCTAGTATCGTCCTCCAACAACTTTTATTGGTGATGAACAGTAACTAATCAGTTTATAGAGTGAGAATCGAGTTAACCACGTAACCCCACCAATAATGCATATAACTCCTCCAAGATGATGTACATTGGTACTAAACAGGAGAACACTTAAAGCACACCCAACCAACAGTTTTATCCCTTTCACCATTATATATACTTGCAATTCATATGTACATCTAACTAAGAACAGTAAAGCAGCCATCAACTGGATCAGAAAACATGATAGTCACCTCAACAATCGAAGAGAACCTTATGGAAAGCTTTGGGCTGATGTAGTTGAGCCAAACTTCCATTAAAAGCTTGTTCAGCCACTCACAGTGCTCCAAAGGTGTTACTGGCTGTATAAACGTACAAACAGATGCAATATTGATGGATGGAGCTTAATTTACACTATGGAAAGAGGAAAGACGAATGGAAGGAAAATTACAGATGTGTGTAGTATGACTTGTTTCCATTTTTTATTCATGTCTTCCACAAGCACACGGCGTTGAAAACTCCCATACTGCAAATAAAAAGTTGACATGTCTTGTTAGTGCCATGTAAATTTCTTACCTGGCTTATCCTCTATTTAAATTCCAAGTATCCGGTACACCTCAAATAATCCTGAAAGTCTACAGCTTGCTCCCAAATATCTAACAGTATCTAGTGATAATCGTAGCTTACCAACATAAGCCTGATAAGGGCTTCCACTAAGCATTCAGTACTTTATGGTAAAAATTATAAATGCCGATAAGTCCCCTATATATAGCCTAGGCAGGAGTCCTTAACCAATGCACTGGCAATGCACAAAGATGGTTAAAAAAGAAATTTGGAAGAATTCTGCAGGAAGATATGAGTGCTTAATTTTCCAGGGCAATAGACAGTGAACTTTGCTAGATAGGGCCGGCCCAACCCCTAGGCTAGTGAGGCTCTCACCTAGGGCCCCACCTCAGCCTGTGCCCTACAAAATCATGAAGCTTAGTTCAAGTAATAAGAAAAAATTTAAGATGTCATGCCATATGGTCAAAAAAATCTAAAAACAGCTTTCGTCAAAACATACATACATATAAATATATATATATATGTATGTATGTGAATTCTACGATGGGAAGAATCCCCTCTTTCAAACATGTCTTTCAAAAATTGGCTGCTAGTTTGTGCCAATTGCAATACTATTTCAAGTTATACAAAAATATTTCCACTTATTTTGTCACCACCACAACCTGTGCATCTTCTAGTTACGCGATTTTTTTTCTTTCTACTAGTTGTTTCCCACTCAAATTTCATCTCATTCATTTCTTTCTCAATTTCTCTCTCTAAAGTACAAAATAAATTAAATGCAAAATTATAGTAATTGAAAATTAAATCGCACCATATTCTTTACAAAAAGTTATAAGATTCTATTCAATTTTTTTGAGGTCCAATGATCTGCTTATTTTCTCAGTTTTATTTTCATGAACTCTATATTTTAGTTATTTTTTATCTTAATATAATCATTTATAAAAGGTGTTTTTCTGCAAGTAGTTTTCCACCTTAAATATATCGATTAGAGCAATATAAATTTGGATATGAGAAATTTAAAAATTAAAAAGGGGTAACACATTCAATCTCCAAAAAGTTTTTTATGGGCCCATCTAAAACTTTAGCCTTAGGCCTCAAGTATTATTGGGCATTCCCTGTTGCTAGACACAAAATGATATGCTACTAAATGAATACCAAAGTTTGTTTCTTCATCAAAGAAATTGTTTCCAATTTCAGAATTTTTTCCTTTATTTTTATCCCCTGTGGTTAAACTAAAAAATATTTTAAATGCAACGAGAAGGATATAACTACAATCACCTTATTCAAAAAAGATGCAAAAATCAGTCAAAAAAAATTATATACTCAAACAAAGATGGCTAAAATGGAGTACAACAAAACCACCATCCCGCCTTCCCACAAGGTGAAGAAAAGGTTAGAAAAGTAATACCAAACCAGAAGAGAAAAATATCACAATTGAAATAAGCATTAAAATTCTGGCATGGGACAGACAGACAAAAGCTATGCACATGCCAATTCCGTACTACATTGTAGATCAAGACCAGGGACCATTGAGCTACCTATTACTTAATATGGCCTGCTGTTTCAGCAAACTTAAAATGAATTGAAAAAAAAAAAGGCAGATGGGGAAGCAAGATAAGGAACACAGAGAAATACAAATTTTTTGCCAATCAGTCTAGGAAAGAAGCATATTTGCAAAAGATGGTGAGCCAAGATCTGAATTCATAGTGTCAAATCCTTACATTAAAAGAACCAAAACCATTATATTGCAAGACTAAAAACCATTTGGAAAAGAATACAGAAAGATTATAGATATATTTGTGTTTGAAGTCTTTGAATAATATTCTAGGCAAGTTTCACCATAAGACTATTGGATTATGAAAGAGTATAGAAAGAATGGCACCAATAGCTCAAACAAATATTTATATTAGTCTCTCTTGTCTTCAAAATTTATATACACAAATATAACACAAAATAAATTCAAATAATTCCATGAATCATTTACATTTAGCTGTGAAGAACAAGGGAGGAAAGACAGAGAGTTTACCTGAATTGTGGCCCAGATGGCTGCGGCAAGAGTAACCCAATTGGAGAAAGAGAAAATCCACTTCTCAAAAGCCCAACAGACCAGTATCAAAGGAATGACAAAAGGAAGAAGAGGTTTATCTACCAGTAACTGGTTCAAGAATTCTAGAGCTTCATTCACATCAAAACTTCTTTTCTTTCTTCTACCCATTTGAAACAAAATTCATAAAAATCGAAGTCAAATGAATTTCACTTCATCAGAAACCAACCTGCGTTGCTCATCATACCCTTCCCAGACAATAACCAAGAAAAAAGAAAAACTTTGTCAGTTTCAGAGAACAGAAACCCAGAAACAGACAGACGCAGAACTCAATTTTCCTGAGCCTTCTCAGAAACTAACCCAGAAACAGGACTCTCTCAATTCCATAGATAGAAACCCAGAACAAGACAAACCCACAACTCACTTTTCCTGAGAAAGTATCATTAAATTTATTTTCTCGGCTATGAGAAAAGAATGATCCGTTATAGTTTCCACCCCAAGAAAAAGTCTAAACGTGTGAAGGAGCTGAGGGAATTCCTAGCGACTGGGCTCTGTTCTCTTTCGGCTGGTAGAGACTAGAGAGAGAGAGAGAGAGAGAACGTGGAAAAGTCAGACGTCAGTGGAAAATGCCAAGAAAATTTGTAGTTAAGACCTATGTGGAGTTTAAGGACAATTTATTAGTCTGATTATTGCAGATTATAGAAAGTCACGACTCCATTCTCCTTTATTAGGCTAGATTTTTGCTAATCCCCTTGTTCAAAGTTAGCAATGTTGTCATGGATAAGATTATCATTGAAAAAATTTTAATATTATACAAAAAAAATTAATTTGTGATCGTAAATTTTACACATGTCGCACTTTTATTGGTTAAAAGATGAATGTATACCATACATAGGAACCACTTTTCATATTCGATAACTCCCTCAACAAAATTTTCTTTACTTTATGAGAAATAACACGAAGATTTCTTTAATTTTGTGGTTGCTACGTGTATATCATGTCAACAAAGTGGTTTTTATGAGACTTTAATCGAAGATTTTAAATTAATAATTATTAAAACTACGCCCATTCAACCTAAGTATAATATTTAAAATTTAAGGTGAAGGTGAATGACACTTTGTATTCTAAAAATAAATAAAATTTTAATTTATAACCTAAAAAATTAAATTTCTCACATTACACCATCGATTAAATAAAAGTTAACATTGTAGTTCAAAAATAAATGTTTGTTGTCTTTTTCCACAAATTTTTTTTTATATTTGTCATACTATCTTATTAATATATACAATTATTTGTATTATATTTAATTTGAAATATTTTTAATAAAATTTTGGGTTAATCTCAACTTACACTTCGAAAAATTGTGCAAATTTTAATTTGTACCCTCAAAATTTAAAAATATTAATTTATACTCTGAAATATATAAATTCGTATCAATATGCACATATGGCTAACTTTGTCAATTTTTTCGCTAAAAAGTTTGGGTTAATTATAAATTATACCCTCGAAATTTAAATATTTCATATTTATGATCCAAAAAGAATTTCATCCATTAATACTCGTTAAATAGCTCTTAATTGTATCGTGTCATAACATCTTCATGTCAATAAAAAATATTTTTCAAAATCTAAAAAAAATTATAAAATACCTATTTTTTGTCTACAATACTCGTTAAATAACAATTTTCTTCTACAATTAGACAAAAATCTTTTGATTGTTTGATCAAATTAAAGTTATGTACAAATAACACAACTATAGATAAAAAATAATTATTTAACAAGTATTATAGATAAAAAAAAATATTTTTTTAATTTTTAAATGATATTAAATAGTATTATATTAATTATCGTAAATGTGAAATACATATGAAAATATATTTTTATTGACTCAAACACGATAAGAAAATGTTATGATATAATACAATTGAGAACTATTAAATGAGCATTAATGGATTAGAATTCTTAAATGTGAAATATTTAAATTTTGAGGGGTGCAATTTATAACTAACGCAAATTTTTTTAGCGGCAAAATAATGACAGTTAATTTCAGGTGCGCATTAATACTGATAGTGTATGACCACGTTGATGAGCAAAAAGTGCAGGTGACGTATGATAAGCGTAAATTAGAGCTACAAGGTTCGTGTGTGATGCTAGAACGAAATGTAGAGGGATTAGGGGGTATATACAGTGAAAATATAGTGGTTCTCTGACTCAGGAGCTCGGCTAGTCCACTCTTTAATGGAGGCTCTTGCTCCCTCTTCTCTATTTACTACTCAAATGTACTACAATACTGTCTCCCTCGAAATTAGGGTTCCTTCCCCTTCTATGGAGGCGTTATATAGTATTTATAGGACTATTCCCTATTCAGTAGGATCTCAGCTGAGATCTTTGCCTGCCATTAGTGGGACTCTCCTTGATTTTAGGAAATAATCTTGGTTGGTTGAGAGTTTCATGCTTTGAACCCAATTTTCGCAGTTATCCATCTGTTCCCTGGTCAGCTCCGCTATCATCTCCCTAGGGGGAGCTCTGGCCCTGGACTTCTGAGCTCCTCGTATCCTACCAAACCTGCTGACCTGACCTCGTTTCTTGAACTTGCTTTTATAACTTATTTGAGGTATTATCAGTTGCCCCCAGCCCCCTGGTTCAAGCGAGCTTGGGCAGGGGTTGAGCTGTTTTTAAACTACGCCGGGCTTGCACGTGGTTGTCCTTGGCTTGCACGTGATAGGTGTCTTTTTGACGATTTTCAGCAATCATGACCTCCTTGGTTCCCGCGCACGTTTCAACCCACGTCTCTCAAGTTTTAAATGTTATATCAGAACCACCATTTTTTCACTGTTTGGTTTCTTTGCTGTCTTTCCCTTCTTGCGGTCTCTTGGTTTCCTGGTTTGGAGTTCTCCGATTCTTTACTCAAGATCAAGTTTCCTGGGTTTGATTTGAAGACTCGCATTGTCCTCTTTCTTCAATTTCGCTATAGGCTGTTGTTCTTTCCTAACTAGATACGCCTCTTTTGCCCCATTTATTGCCTTTTCTCATCTTGGATCCCTCAAGTTTGAGGTGGTTATTGCATTTATGGGCTTTCGGTGCTTTTATCTCTGGAACCGAAACTACTGTGTGTCTCCTCTTCTCCATTTCGTGGGTTGAGGCCTTATTGTGCGAATTCTCGCTATTGGAAGCTACTGTGTTGATCCTAGGGTTATCCGTGAGTGCCTTATTAGTATCCCTCACCTCTACCTTTCTTTCAATTTACCTTTCTCCTATCCAATCATGTCTACCCCTTCCAGAGCTACTCGCTCATATGTTTCTGTCTTGGGAGAAAAGGTCTACCGAAGAGGACACTGATTTAGGGGATGTAGAGGAAATCGACAATTTTCCCGGGTGTTGCCTTTTGGCATGCTGAGCTCGTAGACCCTAGTGAGATTGACCATTCTCTTATGAAAATTTTTAGTGGTCGTTATGGGTTTCCTCCTGGTGTCCACCCATGGTGTCCAGATAAATTCACCTAATACATTGCCTAGGTTCATAAGAAAGTCTGTTTCTTTGTAGCCACTTTTGAGAATGACCTTCACTTCTCTATACACCCCCTTCATCAAGAGTGTTTTGCAGCACTTCAACGTCTGCCCTGCTCAGCTCTCCCCTAACTGTTGGGATGTTCTGGTGGGTCTTCTAGTTTTATTTAAGAAACATAATCTCGGGGTTCCCAGCCTTTTCTTGCTCATGGATCTTTTTAATGTCAAACTCACCTCATCTAAGGGTTTCTTGTATATCTTCAAACGAACCACGGCTAGGCAGATCATTACTTACCTCCCGAGCTCCCATAAGGATTAGAAGAAACAATTCTTTTTCGTTGGGGGCACCAACTGGGAGTACAACCCTGCTGATAATATTGACACTCTTAGTATCCCTAGAGCCTGGTCCACCCCTTATAACTTAGGTGAGTCCTTGCTCGAATTGACTGAGTTCTGGTTTGAAAATTTATGAGTTGCCTTTTTGACCTTTGTTTTCCTTGAATTGTATTTCAGGCATTTGACCTGAGCTTAGTGCTGAGGATGAGAAGGTGAAGCGGAAGTTAGAGAAATGTAATCCAGATAAATACCCCAAGCTCATCAAGCCTTGGGTTCTAGTAACACAGGGATTTAGTCCTCCTGAGGTATCGATAGAAGCTCCGCTCCCTATCTCTGTTGTTAGCCTTGAAGACATAGAAGGTAACACTTTCTGAATTGGTTTCCTTGTCTTCCCTTCTTTTTCCTCTTTTCTGCTTAACTAGCTCGTTTCAGATCTTTCATGTCCATCCATAATGAAATCTACTCCTGAGGAACTCCAGGCTAAGGTTGACCTATTGAAAAAGAATAGGAAGAATAGCAAACGAAAGGTTGAGGTCAGCTATGGAGGCAGCCTCGTTGATAGAGCTAAGTTGCAAAAGCTGGGAGTGTCTTCTTCTCCTACCTTGAGCAAAGAAGGACAAAACTCTCTTATCTCAATCCTCGGCAACCTCCTCTCTTCAAGGGGCCCAGCTTGCTCCTAAAAAGGCTTCTGAGCCAGGGTTGGCTTCCCCTACCTCTTCTAAGGTTGAGGGAGCTTTAGGGCTGATTACTAGAATTCAGCCAGACCTCCCTCCTCCTGGACCAACTGAACGACCATCTCAGCTGCCTCTTCGGAGCCCTAAAGTCGAAAAGAGGGAGGACCGGGAGACTGATGAAGACTCCTTTGACAACGCTGAGCTGGCTGCTGGGGCCATTTCATCCATTCTTTCTGAATTCGATGTTCAAAGGGCCTCCAGCATGCCCCCTGAGGCCTCTTTCTGTTCAGCTCTCCAAGGAGCAGCCACTGTAAGCACTTTTACTCTCCTACTTAGCTCGGTTCGATTAACTTGTGCTGATCTATACTTGTTTTCTTTTCTGCCCCAGATGGCTCTCCATTTGAAGAATTTGATGGGCAGGGTCCGATCTTCGGAGGACTCTACTAAAGCATTGAAGACATATGAGTTTAAGGTCATTGAGCTGACCTTTGACAACGAGAACCTCAGAGCTCAGGTGCAATAGCTCAAGGAGCAAATGGAGAAACAGAATTCTAACCTCGAAGGCTTTCAAGCAGCCAAAGATAGGGCTAAGGAAAGAGAGAAGAAGGCCAGGGATTAGCTGAGGATGACCAGGGAAGAGCTACTACTCAAAACTA